TCTCTGCTCCGCACTTTCCTCTGATGGGGCAGGGTTTTCTCACCCGCGGTCTTAGCCTTTAGCTGTGACTAGTAAACATGTTCCATCTCCCTGTTACCAATCCTCACGGTGCCCCCAAGATTTCCTCTCTCTGCACCTCACCCCCGAACGCTCAGGCTCTCAGCCCCTTGCTCCGCCCATGCTCACGCTCTGCCTCGCTCAGCCGTCTCTTTAGTGGCTCATCTCCCCCAGAGACTGGCCGTGCTGCTCAAAGCACCCATAGCTGCTCCCTGTCCCCTCGCCTTGCCTCTGCCGAGGTCGCCAGGCCCGACCCCACGGCCTGGGGGCACCTTCTGGACTTGGCATTTCTCTGCTTTCCCACCGAGTGGCTCCTCCTGAGCCTGTGGCCTGGAGGCCTGCTCTGCTCTCCCGGCTGTGACAGGACTCCGGGTGCTCACGGCCGGCCGTGCCCCAGCACTTCCTTCTGGGGGCAGCCCTGCAGCCGGCCTGGCAGGGGGAGGCCTGTCTGCAGCTCCCACTCCCTTCACGCTGGACCCCGCAGCCGGGGCCGTGTCCATGGAGCGTGTCTGCAGCAGAGAGAAGCCGATTCACAGGCTCCGAACCCCTTTCCTCCTCCTCGCTCAGTCCTGCACAGTCCCTTGTAAGTGAAGCCTCCCTTCCCAGCCCAGTGTCGCCGGTCAGCCCGAGTCTGCTGCCGCCCTGCATGGATGGCAGCCCGGGAGGAAGGCATCAGGCCCTTCCTGCCGAGGGAGTTGGCACCGTGTTCCCCCGCCTTGTGACGGGTAAGAATGACGAAAGCCAGTGAAAGCCAGCCATAAGTAATGACAGCAAATTCTGTGTCCCAGAGCAGGAGACTCTGCAGAGAGACCAGCTCCCTGTGCGTCTTGGGGGTTTATTTCTGTCCCCCCTCGTCCCTCACCCCTGACGGCAGGGTTGGGCAGCGAAGACTCCAGATGCGCCCTGTCTTGTGACCAGCAGCGAGGGGACAGCTCTCCTGCTCCTCCCTCCTGCTACAGCCACGCCCAAGGACAGGGACCCGTCTGCCAGCCCCTCCGGGCCTGCCTGTGAGCGCAGGCAAGGGGCCCACGTGCTAGTGTCCTGCGGGGGGCAAGCCCAGGGAAGGCCTGTCGTGGGGACGGGCCGCCCCACGAGGAGTGGCCGTGACGTCCTGCCTGCCCCTGGGGCCCCACGGCACGGCTGGAGAGGTCCGTGTGGGGGCTGCTGGCGCCACTGCACGTCCCCAGCGGCCGGCGAGACCGCCGGGCACAGGCCAAGCCTCCGCAGGGGCGGGCGAAGAGCAGCCGCCAGCGCAGGGCCCGCGTGGTCAGGGGCCCTCCACGGTGTCACCCCCGTGCCCGAGGAGGGACCTGCTGTGGGAAGTTTAGAGCCCTGTGGCTCAGTTTGTGTTTTAAGGCGGTTCAGCTGTCTCACCAAAAGCTACAGAAAGAGCAGGGATCTGGGTGGTGAGGGGGGAGCAGAGCCGGGGGCGGCAGCCGTCTCGTTCTGAGGAAGGGGTGTTGCTGCCCACCCCAGGTCGCACGCCGATTTTAAAGGAGAAGATGAAAAGGGCCTCACCTCTGGTTTTGCTGGCTTCCACATGTCCTTCCCTCCGTGCATTTGGGTAAAAGACATTTTGCTCTGTGTCAGGGTAGACGTTGTGCCCGCTAACCTTTACCTCTGAGTGATTCCGTGACATTCCATGACTCATCACAAGTGCCGCTGGGAGCCCCACTCTAATCGTGGCCGTGCCTTCTGCTTGCTCTGATCCTCACCCTTTAAGCATAAGGGTGAGCGTCTTCACACAAGCTGCTTCTCCTTCTGCAAAGCAGGCTTCGCACTCGTGCCGGCTCGTCTGGCTTCCGGGCGGGGGGCCGACGCCGTCACAGGCCGGGGGAGGGAGGGCTGCGTGAGGTTCTGCTGGGACGGCCGCGCAGAGCCTTCTCCCCACCCGCGACGCTGCCTCGCGCAGTCTTTTTTCTTAAATTGTGACTAATTTAGTAGAAGTATCAGCAGGTCCCTTTTTGGGTTTCCTCTTGGCTTGCGCTGGAGGAAACACCCAGCCCTGGATTCACGCTGGTCGTGTTTGATGTTTCAGATCCGAAGGACATCGCCTGCTCCTCCACCCTGGTGAAGGTAAGGCTGCTCTCTGCTTCTTGTGTCTTCTGGACGCTGAGCCATCTGCCAGGTGTCTGATGACTGTCACCAGCCTGGTCCTGTCTGTCTGTCCTGTCAGTGGATAATGAAGTGTGGACATGGGTCCCACCCTCAGAATATTGGAAGTTTTAGAAAAAGGGTCATCATAATGATAGCAACAAAAACCAGACGAGAGGCCCAATGCAGGCCCTCAGAGGGTGACCTGGGCCAGGGGCTGGCTGGGCCCTCAAGGGGTGGGAGTGGCCTGGCTTCCCTGGGCGGGCAGCGTGCTGTGACTGCAGAAAGACACAGAGCTAAGCTAGCCTGTGTCACTTGAAACTAGTCCATATCTGGCAGGTGGGCCATTCGGACCACCCAGCACCAGGACCGGGTTTCCCTGGTCAGTGTCATCGCCCACTGCCCCACTTCCTAACCTCTCCGCTCACTCTGCTGGTAAGTGACCCTGCGGTCTTGGCAGGCACGAAAGAGTGCTTCCCCTGCCACGTCTGGAGGGGTCCCTCCCTTCCCCAAGTCACAGCAACTCTGTGAATGCCCTGCCCCCCAGGCCAGCCTCCCCCTGGCTCCCAGTCCCCTCTCCTGAGCCCTCAGCTTGCCCCTTCCCTCTGCAGCTCACAGCAGGTGGTGCCACCCACCATGGACGAGGCCTCTGTGGCCCTCACACCCAGTTCCCTGCTTACCTTTGGGTGGACCGCATGGATCACCCTCCCTGACCACCTGCACGGCGCCCCTCCCCTCCTCGGGCCTCCCCCACTCTGGACACAGCCCACAGGGTCCCCAGCAGCATCGTCTGGCTGTGCGCGATCAGCACTCCCGCCTCACCCCCTTGGCCTGTGGCCAGCCTTTGACGCGATGGTTTCCTCCCTCCGTGAGAGGCCCTCTCCCTGGGGCTTCCGGGCACTGCACCCTCCTGGTTCTCTTGTAGTGCTCTGCTGGGCCTGCCCTGCCGTACCCCCACGTGGGGGCAAGGCCCGCTCCTTGGCCTCGTCTCTCCTCATTCGTCCTCTCGCTGGGGCAGCTCTCATGCAGACCGTGGCTTTCAGCATCTCCCCAGCATGGTCCTCCCCGCTGAGCTCCCGTGGTCGTGGTCACACTGCCACCTGACATCCCCATAGAGGCGTCCGGGTGTCTTCTCAGAATTAACACTAGACTGTTCTCATTATTTTACCCCGTGAACTTGCTAGGCCCCTGCACTGCCTGTCTCACTCGGGGAGCCGCTCCCCACCCCCTGGACAGGCCAGAGCCAAATCGCCTGGGGACATTTTCTTGACACAGAAGTCAGAGCATGTCACTGCCTGCTTAGAGCCCTCCAGCACTCTCCTTTTTACTCAGTGAAGCCCAGTTCAGCCCTCACTGTCCGTCTCCCGCGGGAGGGTCAGAGCCCCCAGGCAGGGCCCCACCTGGACCGCGGTGGAGCGCGCCTGCCGTGTGCAGACAGGGAGCCGGGGCTGTGCTGGGATCCGCTTGTTAATACAGTGCGCCTTGAGAACAATTAATTTAAAAAGAAGGGTTCTGGTACCACATTAAACCAAATTAGGGAAACAAAATCAATTTTGTAAATGACTGCCTCAGGAAGGTTAAACACCTCTGGTTTTTTAAAACTTTGATGCATTTTAATGTTTTAAAGGCCATTTTCCTGCCACGAGCACGATTTTCAGTCTCCGAGCTGGGACGGGTCAGCTCAGAGTGGTGCTGTGGGCTAGACCCAAGCTGCATGGACCGCCGCCTCTGGCACAGGGGAGGACTTTGGCACTCACCTCCACCCCGGCACGTCCCCCGGGGCGGGACACGGGCACCGAGTGCGAGGGGACTTTGGGGCAGGGGCAGATCACCCTCACGTGCAGCTTCACAGGGACAGGAGGGCAGGCCTGAGCCCGAGGCGGCGTTTCTGCCCTTGTGGATGTGAGCTGAGCCGAAGCTGTGTCCTCTTCCCCCGTTCACATCCTCCCTGTCAAGTCACTGGGCTCCTGGGGTGCCCGTGTCCCCAGGACGCTGTGGGGCAGGGTGGCCGGGCAGTTGTTGGCTTCTCTTCCTCCCAGGGGCCGGTCAGAGGGACAGAGAGATTGGGCTGATTTCTAGGGACGTTTCGGCAGCTTCCGCCAGAGCCCCAAAGTCCTCCCTCCCACAGGGACTCTGCTCACTTCCCGTGGGGCCCTGCAAAGACCCCGGTCACAGGGCCCACTTGAGGGGCCGGCCCCAGAGCCCCGGCGCTGCGGACCAGGCTGCTGCTGCCCTTCTGGGCCTGCCCTTTACGTTCACGGAGCTTCCGGATGGCCCGGAGAGCGTCTGTGACGCATTGACAGGTGCTGCCTTCCTCGGAGCAGAGCCGGGAGCGGCGGAGCGGTGTGCTGACACATCAGGTAGTTTAGGATAAATGGGAGAATCCCTAGAAAGATACGAACTACCACAACCGACTCGAGAGAGAACATCTGAATAGACCTGTAACAAGGAAAGAAACTGAATTATTAATTAAAATTTAATACAAAAAAATCACAGGACCAGATGGCTTCACTGGTGAATTCTGCCAACTCTTCACAGACCCCTCAGAGTTCCAGGAGCACACTCCCTGCTCATCCAACGAAGTGTTATCCTGATACACAGAAGACAGTGACGTCACAGGGAAGCTGCAGACCAAGCTCTCTTAGGAATGTACGTATAACTCAACAAAACGCTAATCCAGCAATATATAGAAAGGGTTAGCACCATGGTCAAATGGGATTTATCCCAGGAATACACAGCTGGTTTAACATCTGAAAACCAATCAATGTGGTATTCCACAGGAATAGAATAAAGGACAAAACCACAGGGTCCTTTCAGCAGAAGCAGAAAAAGCATTTGACAAAATCTAACAGCCCTTCATGGTAAAACACTCTACAAACTAGGAACAGAAGGGAACTGCGTCTGGGACAATCCGCAGCTAACATACCTAACAGTCTAGGACTGGACGCCTTCCCTGTAAGGTCAGGAACAAGGCGAGGACGCCTGCTCTTGCCACTTCTATTTAACATCGTATGGGAGAGTCTAGCCAGAGCATTTAGGCAAGAAAGTGAAATGAAAGGCATGCAGATCGGACGAGAAGTGGAAGTACCGCTATTTGCAGGTGACGTGGTTTTGTATCTAGAGAATCCCAAGGAACCCACCGAAAACCTATTAGGGCTAATTGAAAAGTCAGCAAGGCTGCAGGATGCAAGGTCAGTGCATAAAAATCAGTGGTATCTCTATACATCAGTGATGAGCAATCTGAAAACAAAAGGAAGAAAGCAGTCCCAGTTACAGCGAAAGGAGTGAAATACTCAGGAATAAACTTAACCAAGGAGATACGAGACTTACACAGTGAAAACTACGAAACATTGTTGAAAGAAATTAGAGGAGACCTAAGTAAATGAAAAGACACCCCATGTTCACTGACAGGAAGACTTACATTGTCAAGAAGGCAGTATCCCCAAAATTGATGTACAAATTCAGTGTAATCTCTGTCAAGACCCCAGCTGGCTTCTTGGTAGAAATTGACAAGCTAATCCTTGATCTCATATGAAAAAATTCAAGGAATTCAGAGTAGCCAAAAGAATCCTGAAAAAGAAAAAAGCTGGACTCACACTTTCCAATTTCAAAACTCACTACAAAGCTGCCGTAACTGAGGCTCTGTGTTACTGTCATAAGGGCGGACGTGCAGGTTGGTGGAATAGAACTGAGAGTCCAAATAAACCGTCACACTCACAGTCAGTTGACTTTGACAAGGGCGCCAAGGCCATTCAGTGGAGAAAGGGTCATCTCTTTAACACGCGGTGCTGAGACAACTGTACATCCACATGCAAAGAGAGGATCTGGAACCCTTCCTCAGACCATGCACAAAATTAAAATGGATCGAAGACCTGAATGTGAGAGCTAAACCTGTAAAACTCTTAGAAGAAAATACAGGAGGAAATCTTCTTGACCTCGGATTGGGCAAAGTCTCCCAGATATGACACCAAAAAGTGCAAGGGATGGAAGGGAAAATAGATAAATTGGACTTCACTGAATTTTAAACTTTTATGCTTCAAAGGATACCATCAAGAATGGGAGAAAGTATGTGCAAATCGTATTTCTGCTAAAAGACTTGTTTCTAGAATATATAAAGAACACTTAGAATTCAGTGATTTAAAATAACTTTTTAAAAGGTTTAAAAAAGAGAAAAGATCTGAAGAGACATTTCTCCAAAGAAGATGTTCAAGTGGCCAATAAGCACGTGAAAATCTGTTTAATATCGTTAGCCATCAGGGAACAGTCACCAAAACCGCAGTGAGATACCGCTTCACACCCACTAGGATGGCTGTGATCAAAAGGATGCGTAATAACAAGTTGGAACCCTCAGTCACTGCTGGTGAGGGTGTGAAATGGTGCAACCACTTTGGAAAACGGTCTGGTGGTTTCTCAAAAGGTTAAGCATATAGTCACCATATGACCCAGCAATTCCACTCCCTCCTGGGTGCATCCAGGAGAAATTAGAACATATGTCCGCTGTCCACACTCCCCCCCAAAGCCCCGGCGGTCACGCTGCGCGCTGCCTGGAAGCCATGCTCTCCTGTGTGGAGGGCGTCTTCTTCCTTCCGGAGCAACCTGCTGATGTAGGAAATTGCTTGTTAGAGGAAGAGGTTGGCCTGTGTTATTCCTAAAGGCCTTTTCCTTTCGAGGTCGCTTTGAAACATCAGAGCCGTTGAGGAGAGTTAGTTGGCCCAGCGCGGAGGAGGAGCACGTTATGTTTCTTTATATGTCGGCCGCGGATTGTTCTTCGGGAGAGGATTTTATTTTCATCCTGTTGTCTGAGGGTCTGAAGCCTTCAGGTTGCACGGATTAGCCCTTGTTTCGTTTTAATCACCGGTAGCATTTTTTTCCCTTTGCAGTTTTATTAGGTAGAAATATTACAGTCCGACTGCACACACAGTACGTGGCGTTTAAGTACGTGTACACAGCACACTGCACGTTGTTTTTAGTTTACATATAGGTGCTGATTATTGTTTCTAAGAACAGATTAGAGCTTTAGCTTTTTAAACTTACATAGTTATCAAAGGAATAAAGCCAACTATAAAATGAGAATGGACAGAGCGGGGAAATCCGATGATAAAGGACAGTCAAATGTGCTTACACAAACTCAAGAAATCAATCAGTTTCTGTGAAGACAGTGCCGTCGCTGCAGTGAACGAGGTGTAATTTCGGTCTGTTGATTTGGCAGTGGCTCTAATTAAATTTTTTTCTCCCAGCATCCGAAAGCCTATGAGAACGGCGCACACAGGTTTCGGCTGCAGAAGCAAGTCCTGACCGACGAGAGGAGCAAGCCCCTGGTGAGTGGCCCCCACTGCCCCTGGGCGGCACCTGTCGCAGATGCCCTGGGCAGGGCCTGTGCCTCCTCGGGGACGTCGGAGTCCACCCTGGTTACTTTTCTTTGGATAGCAGAGCTGGGCTTGCTTTAAGATTTTTTAATCAGATTGGCAAGCCATTCATTCATCCAGCAACCACTGGCACACCGTGAGCCTCAGTCACAATGTCCCCGGGGCCCGTGGAGCTCACGTCCTGGGGGGCCGGGCATCGGGCTGGGCGTCGGGTGCAGACAGAGCCCGCCGAGAGGGGTGAGCAGGCACTGATTCAGGCCGGCCTCGCGGGGAGCCGTGAAGGAGGAGTGAGTCCGCACGTACCTGGGCCAAGGGGGTTCAGGTAGAGGGAGCGTGGGGCGGGCTGGGAACATGAGGGACCCAGAGAGAACGTAAAAGCTAGCTGTGTTGCAGCCCTCCACCCCTTCAGCACCCTCCAGGGTACAGAAGGGGAAACTGAGGCACAGAGGTGCTGAGCCCCCTGCCTGGCCCCCTTGGATGGGGAGGCCGGGAGGCAGCTAGGGCTCCTCCCCTGCGCTGGGCCTCACCTGCCCCCTCTCGGGACACGGTCCGCTCTCCGTTCCCACAGACGCAAACCCCACCAGCACGGGGCCGGCTGCACTACGCCAGTGTGTGTAAAGGACATCAGCATCTGTGGCTTTTGGTCTCTGCGAGGGTCCTGGGAACAGTGCCCCGCAGGTCTCGGGTACCAGGGCAGGACTGTACCTCCAAGAAGGCTCTCCCTGGAGGCTTCTCCCATCGCTCTGCCTAGCTGACCATGCTGAGCCACAGGGGCGTTTTAGATTTGGTTTTAATCATTGAAAGTATATGATCTTTTCTTTTCTCTTTAAATCAGGTAGCTTAAAGGATAAGTGTACTAAACAGGGGTTTTTTTTCTTTATTGCCGAAGGAATTTATTTTTGGTGGTTGAGATAATGGAAGAGGGAAGATGATGTCTGATATGTCTTGGTTCTTGGATTTTAGTTAAATTCAACTGAAATGCTTTAAAATTTCTACTCACTTCTGAGTTTATATAAAAATCAGGTGCCTTAGCTTGGACTGCTCTAACAAACACGGCAGACTCGGTGGTTAAACAGTAAATGATTATTTCTCACATTGCAAACGTTTATTTCTGGAGGCTGGGAAGCCCCAGATCAAGGTACCGGAAAACCTGACGTCTGGTGAGAGCCTGCTCCCCGGCCTGCACACGGCCGCCTCCTCCTCGGGTCCTCACCCGGCGGAGCAGAGAGAGAAGCAGGCCTTCTGCTGTCTCTTCTCAGAAGGGCACCGATCCCTCCATGGGCGCCCCACCCTCGTGGCCTAATTACCTCCCAAGGGCCCCACCTGCTACTACCACCACACTAGAGATGGGGGTTCAACATACAGATTTGGGGGTGAACACAAATACGGGGTCCCAGCAGGTCTTAATCAGTGCCCATGGCCATAATTCCTCTCTGTCACTGAAGACCCACCTTTTCCCAGAGGCAAGACCCCGGGCCCTGTGCTCTGGTGTAGTTACTGACCAGCAAAGCGGGCTAGACCTGTCTTCTGAACATAACTGCCCTCTTTCCTTTTCTCTTCCTTCCACAAAAGTCTGTTTACTAGCACGTCACCAAAGAGACAGTTATGTATTTAGAAGCCCCAGTAGGTCTGACCTTGATGGACATGACTGGGCAGGTGTTGGCGGCCGTCAATGGGTGTCCCCTTTCAGCTGGCCCCTCCCACTAACCAGGGTATGGAGCCCTGCCCTTCCATAACAGGACGAGCTCACGTGCTGGAGGCAGCTCCAGGGTCAGCAGGCAGGACATCCCAGTTTGGCAAGATGCCCTGCTGTCCCCTCCCCCAAGTGACCCAGCTCAGATCCACTGGGGCCCAGAGCTGAGCACCGCCCAGGCCCCTGATCACTGCTGCCTTTCTGACGGTCCTGCCCACTCTCTTACCTGCCCAGCCTGTTCCCAGCGACCTCTTAGGAAAGACACAAAGAAGGGGTGGGCGAGGAAGAGGATGTGCTCGGAGAGAAGGCGGCTCCAGGGCCACGCGGCCGCACGCTGGACCTGCTTCCAGGCCGCGTGGGTTATAAAAACCCACGAGGTGATTATTTGTGGGGGTGGTCGGAATTTGTCATCCTTGTAGTCACATGTCCTTCTTGTCACCTTGGCTCCTCTGGGGGTCTTTCTGATTGGCCGTGGCTCAGCAAACACTTAAGGAGCGCTGAGCGGGTGGCTTGCTGCTCGAGGCTACTCCGCCTGGGGTGCCAGTGCGGACCCACAAGTGTCCTCGGGGCCAGCATCAGGGTGAGGTGTGGGCAGAGCAGTCACCAGTGCGTCCTCCCCTGTGTGTGTGTTCATCAAATGGCGCCCTTGTGCTCTCTGAAGGCGTAAAACCTCAGGGTGGGGTTCCCCGATCCCAGCAGATCCCCGGGGGCTCCAGGCACACAGCTTTCTCTGTCCCGTCCACCCAGTGGGTCTTTGTTGGCTCTGAGGAGGAGGCAGCCTTGCACTCCTGGTTTGTTTTAGAAAACCCGCCACGACCTCGCACTTCCCTCTGTCTCCTCCAGGCACTGCAAAGGACCGGAATTTGGTGGCTGGGAGCCCACCCACCCAGGCCCCTGCATAAAAGATGAGTGGGTGTGGGCAGGAGGCCCATTCTCAACACAGGCAGGGCCTTCCCTCTCGTCTGAGGGGCTCCTCGCTGCTTACGGAGCAGATGGGCTGGGTCTGGGGCCTTAAACCAGCCCCGTGGGTGGGTCCCTGAAGCGCTTTACAGAACGAGGACAGGCCAGGTGGTGCCTCAGGGGCGTGAGCAGGTGGGCTCTGTGCTGGGCCCACAGTCGCTCTGAGTCGGAGGCGCTGTCTTCCTGGCTGAGCAGAAGTTTTTCGCCTTATTTTCACTCTTTATCTGGCTGTATTTCACTGTCCTCTGGTCAGACCATCAGTGTGTTAAAGCATCTGTCCTGCGGTTCTCAGCTTTGACTGCACATTGGACTCCCCTGGGGTCTGAACAGAGACTGCTCTATCCAACCTGGAATGCAGCTGGGCAGCGGGCTCTCTCACTGGAGAGTCCAGCGTTTAGCCAGGGTTGAGAACTATTGATTTTTGTCTCCTACACTGGGTAGCCGGCATAATTCACGAGAGAAGAGTTTATTTCCAAACTCAAATCTTTGGTCTCTTTTCCAATGACTTTATAGAACTGTCATCAGAAGATATTCTGCTTTCTCACCGGGGGCTGGCATCTGCGTTCTGGCACATCAGACATGTGCCGGACGCCCGAGTGACGGCAGGAGCCAGGCACCCTGGTGCCACAGCTCTTGCTGCCCGAGAGGCGCTGGGCCCTCGGCTCCTGGTGGACCACGGTTGCTGCAGCCTGCCACCGTTGTCCACATTTCTGTCTTCCACTGGAAGAGAGCTGTCACATCAAGAGACAGATATGACGATCCATTACCACTTTCTTTTTTTGTTAACTGCATTTTGAATCCGTCTTGAGTAGATTATACTGAGATAAATACAATAAAACCTATTTGATTTTGTGGAAAGTCTGAACTCCATAGAAGCATTTCTTTCCAAAGCCCTGACTCCCTAGTGCACTCATGAAAGGTGTTTTTAGATCATCCTTGCTCTGACTTGATACCCCACCATCAGCTGGAGACCACTGTTCTTTACTTTCATAAAGGTAAACTTTGCCCTTTAGGGACGTCCAGAATCAGAATTTACGAAGTATTGGAATTGGTTTTTGAATTTTAAAATAACGTTTCTGATCACGTATGTCCATTATGAATGCCTTAAAAAATTCAGGATCATGTAAAGAATTTCCTGACATTTCCATAAAAATTACACGTTAATTCCACTACTCAGTGACAACCACTATCGGTTTAGAATTTAGCCTCTTTTTTTCTCTGAATAGATCCTCTAGTTACCCACTTACACAGGTGCACATTTAAGCATGAACGTGCTGTGAGATCAGAGTGAGAACGTGGTTTTGGATGATGTTCTGTTACCTGACGTCTCATAAGCACTTCCCAGACCGTCAAATCTCAGCTTTTTCTACGTCATTTATGTGGATGTACTTCAGCAGTTTTTCTCACTGATGGTGTGACATTAATTTTATTGTACGAGTATTTTTCCACTTCTCAAATTATTTTTTGCAAATAGATTCCTAGAATTGTTGGTCAATGGGCTTTGCCTGTTTTTAGTTAGTATTTCCTAAAACTCCGTGAATTCTAACGGTCATAAAGCGGTTCCCACAGTGAGCATATTTTATGAGGCGTCCCCAAGACCATTAGCGGAGCTCGCCACAACCGAATGGGCTACTGGGTAACACCTTTTCTTTCCTTTTCCCAACGGGATTTGTCTCCAGGACCCAGAGATGCAGTGCTTACTGCTGTCGGACGGAAAGCACTCCGGCCACCAGAACCACGTGGTCATTCTCCCGGCCGATGGCGGGGGCGGCATGGCCGCCATCAGCTTCACTGGGGCCTTGAAAATCCCTGTGAGTACCTGGGCCTGGGAGGGGTTTCAAAAAGGGGCATTTGTACTTACCATGAAGACAAACCGGCCTGCTGACAATCAAGCTTGGAAAAGAAATCTGTGACTGTATAACCCGTAAGTTAGAGGCCCAGAGCCAGCAGGGACCGGCAGCCGCAGACAGCTCGGCTCGGGACCGTGTAAGGCTGCCGCCTTTGCCTCCCAGTAGCTACGAAATATGTACATACACGCACAGCACACACATGTGTATATATGTATTTAAATATACACACGTATATACACACGTATATATAGACTTAAACACGTATATATAATTTTGAAGTTGGTTGTCTCCATTTAGAAATTCACAAATTTCATAGACAAACAGCAGGCCTTCCTGTCTTCACTTGAAACACCAGAAATTCTGGCTCTACTGGGCCTGCACCCCTGTGGCCCCATCCTCCCCACCCCCGGGCCCCCCATCCCTGGCCTGCCCTGAAACCCTGGGGAGTCACCGCCCCTCTTTCTGCTCTCTGGCTTGGGTGGGCCCACCTAGGTTTTCTTAACCTGCCACAGTGCTTTTAGGAGCACAGTCCTGGTCTGATTGACCTGTGGGCCGGCAGGGCAGGAGGAGTGAAGGGATGTGCAGAGACCAGGGAGACGAGCCTGCCTGGATGCAGAGAGCTGATGGTCCTCGAAACCTGGCTTGTTCTGTGTTTGAAAATCAGGCATGCTGGTCTGGGGGAGGCAGCCGGCCCGACTCTGGGCTGATGGGGGTGCGTGGTATACATATAATCAGGGTGTGAAGGAAATCGAGGGAAAAGTGTTCCGGTCCAGGTTGGGGGAGCTGTGCAATGGTGGGATTTCTTTGCTGCAGGTTTTCTTGTATGACGTCCATGGGCCCCCGCAGCAGAGAACCTAGGGAGCCATGCAGAGGACTCTTCAAAGCTGCGTTCTGGGGGGGGGGGTGCGGGGAAGGCGGGGGCCCGGAGCAGAATGGGAGGAGGGGCGCACCTGCACCACGCTCGGGGGTCTGCCCTGTTCGGAGGAGCTGGTGTCGCTCTCATGCCGGCAGGACCTTCCCCGATGCTGGCCTCAGAGGCTGGGAGGGCAGAGGGAACACTGACCCGGGGGCTCCTTAGGGACCGTGTGCGGCTGGAAACGTAAACAGGGCGCCCAGAGCCTTAGAACCACATCAGTCAAATGGAAGAACTTAGAACTTCCACTTCAGAACAGATAGTGCCGCCAGCACCCAGACCAAACTGGCCCTGCGGGGACCCTGCAGCTGGTCTCCAGACAGGAGGACATTGAAGGCCTGGCCTGGACTCCCAGAGTCCCTAAAAAAGACCCCTGTGGGCTGGCCTGGAGGAGATACTGCTTCTAAAAGAAAGGTTATTTTTAAATGTTGCTAACAGCTAGTGACTTTTATGTTGCACCTACTGTGCAGCAGCCTCAAATACCGCTGCTAAAAGTAGGGCGCACTGGGGACAGCAGCAGGCCTGGCCCTGCCACCACGAGCTGGGTTTGCCTGGCAAGTGTGGTGACCACTCTGGGCCCCCATCTCCTCGCCTGTCATGCAGGCTCAGTGCCCTTGTTCACGCTGCTCTGAGAACTCCATGCTGTATGGAGTCCAGTGGGGTCGTCACCCGCACACCAAGCGCGATGGCAGGCCTGCGGAAGCGCACGGGCCGTCGCACCGCACCCGGGGCGACTGCGGAACATGGAGCATGCACACGAATTGCACGTTGTGTTCTCTGCCCAGACTTGGTGTGTGTTCACAACTCTGCACTCACACCTGGAGGGCCACTCACATCTGCCAAGTGCTGTGTGGAGCTGCTGTCTCTCTAAAAGCAGAGGTGAAAAGGAACGTTTCACAGTAGCCGTGACTCCAGACCAGGTTCCTCACCGGGACCCACACTCCTCTCTCTGGGTGTTTCTCCAGCACCACAGGTTTGCTCAGTCCCAGGCAGGCGGCAGTCGCCCGTGTGTCGTACCAGATGGTCGGGTGTCTGTGCTGTGTCTCCAGGTGTCTGTGCAATTCGCGTGACTGCAGTTTTAGGGGGAAAAGACATAGCTACTCAATACGCGGTAACCAGCTGACCGCGCGCTGTGTGCGGCCTCGCTCTTTGAGAACTTCCTCGGCTTGTTTCAGGGCCCTGCGGTATGAGAGTCAAATCAGTGGTTTTTACGGATCCTGGTCTGATGGGAAGACTTGAGGTTTCAGTTAACAGTCACGTGCTGTAAGAGGCTACGTCAGTCGGCTGTGCGGTCCCTCCCATTGCAGGTTGCCCTTCACAGCGGTGCGGTACCCAGGCATCTGGAGGGGCTGTTTTTAGGAGAATGAAGTGCTTCGTAATTCTGCTGCATATTTCAGCAAACCTGCCGAGTACACTCGGGTAAACACCGGCCCCCTCTTTCTTTCAGGGCGTGATAGAGTTCTCTCTGTGTTTGCTATTTGCAAAGTTGGTCAGCTACACTTTCCTCTTCTGGCTTCCGCTGTACATCACAAACGTGGGTGAGTACCTGCTGCCTGCAGGACGGCGGCTGTTCGCAGTGACTGCGTCGGACGGAGCCCCCTTATCCTCAGGTCTTGAGTCTTGGGAGGGAGCGCGAGCCTGATGCCCGGGAGACACTTTTGAGTCAGACTGCGTGATGAGTAGGAACGTATAGACAGAAAGAACTCAAGTGTGGACGTGTCATTGCCTTAATGATCACCTTGTCGTGTCCCGGCTGTGGCTGCCAGTTCCGTGGGGTCTCCCTGTCTGGGGCGCCTGCGTCTGAATTTAGGCTGCGTCGACTTTGGGTCAGAGCAGCTGGTGAGCAGGGCAGAGGCCCTGGGGAGCTGAGATAATACGGGCCTAACCGTCTGACCTGGAACCTGCTGCTGGAGGGGAGCTCTAACTTCGGGGGAGCTGACAGTTTAACTCCCACTTCCGAAGCCCTGCCGGGGCCGGAGCTGGAGGTTAAGACAGAGCAGAGCAGCTGGGGAGTTACGTGCCCTCCCCGGACCGTGCATGCCCACAGCGGAGACAGGAGGAAGGGCGGCAGCTCCTAAGAGGACAGGCCCCTGAGCGCAGGGGCCGCAGCCGCTGCGACCGGGACAGGTGGTCAGGGAGGGCCTGGAGCCTCTGGGCCCAGGAGTCAGGGCTTGTGAGGAGAAAGAAAAGAAACCAGGGTCCCCAGGAGGTGCGGGCCCTAGTGAACGTGACAGAGAGGAGAACTAGGGTGTGGGGGTTCCAGAGGACAGACCCGTGTTCCCAGCAGGGGCATGAGGACCAGCAGAGATGGACGGAGCCTGAGGCGGGAGGGCTGAGTTTCTCAGGGATGGAAGCTGGAGAGGCAGTGAGGGGACCGTCCTGTGGTAGTGGGGACGTGGAGGGGAGGGGCAGGAAGGAGCTCCCAGGGTTTCCAAGCTTCCTTCCCTGTCCCACGACCCCTTCCTTGCAGCCAGCGAGCTGCCGTGCTGCAGACAGGTGGGCCCTCAACGGGCTGGCACTGTGCTCCTGTGACCACAGGACTCAGGTCACAAGTGACTGGCATTTGCAGTCTGAGTGATTGTTTGAAAAGAGCAGATTGCCCTGTGCACCATTCAGGACGCTAGGAAGGGCTGGGCTGATGAACGGTCCAGATGCTTCCCAAACCTCGTCTCCCGGGCGTTGGCCGCCTTGAATCCCCCGAAAGCCCCAGGCCCGTGCGAAGTCCGACAGGGAGACCCCTGTGCTGCGCAGTGAGACCTGGGCTTTCTCACCTGGAGGAGGAGCTCCTGGTGCCTTCAGGTCTAAACTCTGGGGGTCTTGTGCTCTGTGTCAAGGGGCGCTCCTGCAGCCCCCAGGCTGCTCCCCAAGGCCGGCTCCACCGGCCCTGTCTCGCCTCCCTGCTGCTGTCCTTGAAGGGACACTGAGCCGAAGGCGGGATGGCAGTTAGGCTGAGCCACTGAGTCCTCGCTTTGCAGGTGAGGGTTTAGGTCTCCTCCATTCTGTGCGTCCACCCGCATGGCGGACCCCTTTTTCCTCTCCTGATCTGATAATCATTTGATACTCATCTGATCATTGAGCGAATAACTGTTGCCTGACTGAAGGCATGCTTACGGAACAGCAGAATGTTGTGTGTGGGTCTTGCACTGCTGTGACTTCCTCAGTGACACTCCATCGTCACTTTAATAGATCACCTTGATGTCAGGAAGGCCGGGGAGCTCTCCACCTTGTTTGACGTGGGCGGCATCTTCGGTGAGTTCACTGCCTGTGTTCTCTGTGGATGGTGCGTGAACACCTGTGGCCCTGACTGTGAGCTGCCTTAGTGCCGGGAGGCGCCGGGCTGTGCCTCTGAGGGAGGCTCCCCCCCATCCTGGGCCTTGACCCCGTGCTCCGCAGCCCCTGGCAGGCAACAGGCTGTCAGGGTTGGGACCCTCCCAGGCCGCGGGGCCTTGGGGCCAGCCTGAAACCTGAGCCCTAGACCGCCCGTGTTTTTCACTT